TTAGTTTAGTTTAGTTTAGTTATTATGAGTAGCCAGTCTGTGGTAGTCTAGTGGTAGCACTGGATAAAAGAAAATAGCCCACCCAGGTTGAGAGTTAATTCAAGCAGCTAAGCAAAGCTTAGAGATGTACAAGTAAACTAAAAAACAAAGAATAAAGGGTTGGGATAAGAATAAAGAGATAAGGACTCTTCCAGAAAAAAAAAACTTTTATACAGGATATTCTAAATTAGGCTTTAACAGTTCCTCCCTATCTCTGGACCTAGACCTACTCTCAAGGAAACATTAAAAATACAAGATAGTCTGTTTCTTTTTGAACTTATCTCCTTTGAAACAAGCCCCCCAGATCCCCCAGCCTACACTTCACCTATTTATATAGTATCAAGACCCCTAATTAAAATTTATGCTCAAAACCCCCTTGTAATAGACTATTATCATTGACAATGAAACTGTCATAACTTCCTCCTTTGTTTCATGACTTCATTCTACATTGTTTGTGGAACCACAAACTCAGTTCATACAGAGATTACAGTAACATCATTGAGGTCCCACTGAGATCTGAGATAAATAGGACGTAAATCCTAAGTGGTAGTGTTATTATCTTTTCCTTTTGCAATATTTTCTTGCTAAACAGTATTTCTACTTGGGAGACAGAGATTTGCACTTTCTGTTTTGCTTTGTTTTGGGTTTTTTTTTTTTAACTGAACAGCCTTATAGCCTTATATCTCCTCTGTTATTTCCCTGGTGGTAGGAATATAAAAACACAGGTCCTCCTCAGCCACTTAAAGATGACTAGCATGGCTGCTGCTGTAAAATATAAAAGGACAAGTTTCACTGGGGCACCGTGACCTGATGGATCCCCCTTCCATACTGGTGGAAGGTAGTGCAGGGCCTGCTCTGCCTAGGTTTCCTTTCTGGTTTGATCCTCCACTAGTGAGGTGGCAATGGCTCTGGGTGAATGACTCGGTGAACTCACCATAAGCATAATGAGAATCAACATTTCACTGCTGCTAAACCTCTTCCAACTTCCTCCTGACAATGTTTTTGTTTTCTTTCTCAATTTTTTGGAGGCATGTTTTACTAAAGACCAAAAAGACCCGCCCAACCTGAGAAAATTTTATTCTCAATTTGTCTGTCTTTCTGCTGTTAGGATAAGGCTGGGAACTAGGTAAAATCTCCACTCCCTTCAACTCTCCACCACCTCTCAGGAATGCTGCTTAGACAGGGCAGGCTGGCTGGCTTTAATGTGGGGCCATCACAACAGTGATGATTACATTAGCAGAACAGAAGACTCTTCTAGGGATCCACAGTCCCTAGTCTCTAGGGGACTACTGCTTTCTTGTCATGATTTTTCTTTGGAGTTTATTGCCAGGCTGGTAATCTAGTTGTATACTCAGAAATTTGCTAACTGGGAGCAGAAAAAAGCCTATAGCTAGTATGAGCCAAAAAACAAGAAGAAAACGGGCACAGATACCAGGAAGAGGTGCAGTCTGGCTCTGGTCTCATTTCCTTGAGTACCTCCAGCTCACCGCTGCTGGCACTGGACTGGACAGGACAGGCCTCAGGTAAAGAGACAGAACGAGCAAGACGGGCAGAGATTCCTCCTCCCACTTCGTTTTTTTCAATATGAGAAAGCTCAATGCGGAACTCAACTTTCCCTCATTTCCTTAAAATGCATACTTAATAGCTAGGACTCCTTTGAAACCCAGGCTCCAAAGAAACAAAAATTAATCTTTTTCTACACTGATAGCTGGCCTGAACAACCCCTGGGAAATGAAAAAAGTGGTTACCAGAGAAAAATATACAAATCACTACCGTAGCCTTAACAATCTGTCCCTTTGGAGAGAACATTTGCATAAAAAACAGCTTGGCAATCAGAGAAGCAGTTTACCATAGTAACTCTAATAAGAATGCCCCACGGAGCCTCTACTGTGATAATAGCTATTCTAAAACTTAGGGTAAACCATTAGCCTAGGACTCTTCTTTAAGCAGTCCTTGCTTTCAGGCCATAGAAGGGTTTTTCCCTCTTTCCCCTTCTTACTTTTATTGGTGTTAACTTATTATAAGAGATCTCTGTTATGACTTACCTAAAAAGTGCTATAATACCCCCTAGGGAAAGTTCTGCCTAGTCTATTTATAGTTACAAACCTAAAACTATAAAAAGGTTATTGTAGTTCAACTTGCCCAATACATCTAAGAGTGCACTTTGATTTAAAAGTAATTGCTTTGTGTGTTCTACATGTTTCTTGTTTGTTCACCTGCCTATTTAATCTGCATTAACAAATGGTAAAGATATGTGCAGCTGCTTCACTAAAGATTTGTTGAGCTCATATCAATTTCATTTTTCCTTTATATTTGTCCTTAGAAACTTGTGGCACTTTTGAGATTGATCACCAAAAAAAGTTACATAAGTTTTCAGGGTAGCCAAATTCACTTAAAATATTAGAGAGTTAAAAAAACACTGGTAAGCTCTAGGTTTACATGAGGCTCACTGATAAAAAAAACCTCAAGGTTTGATAACATAAAGGTTATATATGACTAGGTTTATGTGCATGCTTCAATGTATTAACTTTCAGGTATATATTATCCTCCATATGCTTAAGTAGGGCAAAAAGTTCTACTAAATTGGCTTATAGACAAGTAGATACTCATGATATTAGTCCAAATGCTTATTGCTTACATAGCTTACCAGGAAGCTAATTTAAACTGGTTGGTAAGAGTAAAGATGTCTTTAAAGATGGTGGCATGTTTTTGTATAGGTTGTCAGCTAATCGAGATAAGATCAGAAACTGACTTTATATAAGTACAAAGTATTGTTTTTTATGTACAAGAACTTAAGAGTTTTTCTTTGGCTAAAGTAATATATAGCTTAAGACTGTTAATTGCTATGAGTTGGTTCTCAAGAGTCTTCTAACATAATTAAGATAAATAAGTGGGGAACCTCTTGGACTTGGGAAACTGCCAGACTCTCTTCTGTGGCTAAAAAAAGCAGCTGCCTCAACCAATTTGTTCAGTTTTCTCCGCTGATGAGTGATTTCCCTGGTTTTCATCCCAGAGTCTTACTGTGACATTATTAAATAAATTATTATATTTAAGTTGGCTATAATTAAAATATTAAGCTTTCTATGTCTGAAACAATAAGATTTTCTTAAGATATTAAGATGCTCTTGGTAAAAGAAAACTAGATAGAAAGGAAAGGAAAAAGTATGAGAAAGAAAAAAAAATGGAAACAAAGTCTATGTAAATAGGGAAGGGTGGTGGGGGTGAAGGGCGCATAGGTAATGGGGAAAAAAAATAAGAACCATGATACATCATGTTCAGGTACAAGCACCCAATGATAAATGTAAATGTACTGTATACCTAAAATGTACCAATTAATATATATTAAAAAACAAACCCAGTTCTATTTTATACTAAGATAATTTCTTTTGTTTTCCATTGTTAGGCTTTTGTTATTAAAAATACAGTTTTATGAGTTAAAGATTATTTAAAATCTAGTTTATAAAATATTTAATAATCAGTTGATGATCGGTTAAATAAACAACTATTAGTTTATGACATTACCTTTATATCTGGGAATATATATGCAAAATATACTGTTAGTTTAAACTTTAAAGTTAAATTCGTAGAGCTAAGACTACATAAGTTTAATATATACAACATTACTAATAAGTGCTGTCTTTTATACAATATACATACTGACCTTCAAACATATAAAATGATCCATATTTTTAACATCTCTTTAAATTTGGTCCTTTTATTTAAAAGAGATACATTTATATATTGGCTACTAAGTCTACTTCTGATGAGTAACACTGTTTCCTTAACTTATAAAAGTTCTAAAGATGTCCTTTAACTGTTTTCAGTGCAGTTACATCATGTAACTCTATCTGAATTTTGTCTTAAAAGTAAAAACTATGTAAATATATCTAAAGATTTCTATATATTTATGATGTTAACTAGTGCCAATCTCATGGTATGTTAAATATATTTGTGTTTCCCAAGTGTACAAGCCTTCAAAGATACAAAACTTTAAAAACATCTTATCATCTTGATGACTTCCAAGCTAAAGTTGTTTATGATGGTAAAGTTGTTTAGGCTCAAACATCCCAGGAAATGAGAAGACCTCTCTAAAATTCTGGTGAGTCACCTACTTCCTGAGCAGGGAGACTGTTAGACTCTAGACAAGAGTCAATCAAATGACATTGTATTCAAAGGAAAAGTCACCAAAGAGGAAAATATCTCCCATGCTTCCACAGGAAGCCACATGGTCAAGCAAGACCATGACCCATCATGGCAGATGACACTGACAGAAAACTAAGAGGCTGTACACCTGGCCCAAAAGTAAACCCTAAGAAGGCTTAATGACCTTAACATATGTATAGAGAGAGGTTAATTTTAATTAACACAAGTCTCATTTTAACTTGGTCTTAAACACCTAGGGGAAAAAAGTAACCAAAAAGATAGATAGATAGATAGATAGATAGATAGATAGATAGATAGATAATTAGATAAATAGATATAAAATAATGATATAGGTTAGATATTAAAAGTGGGTTGAAATCACTACAATGGTCCCTGCTGGCTCTCTCCAGCTATATCTGTACTTTATCACTTTTCTGGCTCAATGAGATTTAAAAGCCACAAAGGTAAGTACAGAAGCTCAGGAAGACTCTTTAGATCCCTTAAACTGAAATAGTCCTTCAAAACCAGAGAGACCTCAACCTCCTTATAGCCAAAACTAGGGGCCCACTTTCATTTCCACAGAGAAGGGAGAGAATGGAAGATGACTGAGAATGGTAAAGCAATTCTGGAGATGTGTACTATCTCATTGTATTTCCCTCCCCTCTGTTTTTGTTACAAAGGGCCTTTACACACCTGGACACAGGAGGTGGTGACTTGTGGCCAATCTCCTCAGAGCTACATTAGCTTTGAATAAAGCCTTTTTCCTTTACATCAAAATAAATGGCCTCCTTGGTTTGGTCAGCAGTCAACAAATATACCTGAATGTACAGATCTGAGTAGCTGGTAACAATATGAGAAATAAGAGTGAATAAAGAGCTGGCAAAAAAAAGAAAAGAGGAAGCAGTCAAAAAGAGAGTAATTAAAATGAAGTGTATAGCATTTTAATAAGATGAAGGAACTGGGCAAGGGGATTTAGCTCAATGGTGCTGCTGCTTGCCTTGCAAGCACAAGGTTGAGTTTGATCCCTGGTACCAAAAAAAAAAATAAAAAATAGAAAAGATGAAGGAACTAGTGGTAACAGAAAAATAAACACCTTGTGATGAAGGAATTTCAGTTTGAAATCTGGGAAAAGAGCAAAGTTGAATTATTATAATCCCAGTCATGACCATTTAACACAAGGGAGATTGCAAGTACTGCATGTAGCTCATCAAAAAAGTTAAGGCAAAACCTACATACCGCATGACGCACAATGGCCATGCACAAAAGTGATGGTTAGGGGAAAGCATGCATGACTAAATGCTAAGCAATATCACCATATAGAATATGGATATCGAACTTTGTTTTAAATGGCTGGGGTTAGAAGAGGGGAAAATGCCTTATACCTGAGTTCAGAGAGACTTTCCACATGGCCCAGGAACTCCTGACACAGCACAAGACCACCATGACCATGGAGGAAGCCTGGACACTGAAGTGAGGCCCTTCTGATGTGGCCAGATGAGCCCCTCAATCTATTCATAACTCTGCAGCACACTTGTCCCAATAACAAAGCCTGGATCTCAGTGTTGAAGCTCTGGCCATTGCTCATGTCTAATAAATAAATCATGTTGATTTCCCAGTCTAGAGCCTCACCATTTGCTTTTTATTAGCAGCTCAAAAGAGGGTCCTGGAAAAATCACTCACAGATTATCGGTCCTCTCCATCCTCCATCATCACCCCGGATGCCAACTGGGAGTTCTCCTGGAGTATTGCTGAGCTGGATCAACCAGAAGCCTTTGGTGAGGAAGGTTCTGAGGCAGGAGTAGTTTGTGGGAACTCACTCCAAGACTGTCTTAGGGCAAGAGGATGATTTCTGTGGAAACAAGTTGGATGGGAGCCAGTTCTTTGTTACTGGCCACTTAGGTTCATATACTCAGGTCAATTTGCTTGCCACCAACCAAATCAAAGGAGGCCATATATATTCATAAAAAAGGAAAAAGGGATTTATTCAAAGCTAGCTCTAAGTAGATGGAGGGGCCCATTTACCTCAAATCACCAACCCCTCTCGTACAAGTGGGCAAGGGTCTTTTACAGTAAGGAACAAAGGGGGAGTACAAAAAGATAATGCAAATCTCCATACTTGTTTTATCACTTCCACCCATCTTCAGCTCATTGCTTCCTTTCTTGTGGAACAAAACTAAACTCTGGCCTCCTGGAACAACACTAGACTCTGAGTCACTACTTTGGGGCTGAAGAGTGGAGAGGGTGTTGGGTATGTGCTCAGCGGGAGGAAATTTGGAGAAGTTGCTTGTCTCTAAAAGAAAATATCTAACATTTAAAGTTTCATTTTGCAGTACTGGTTACATTTTGTGGGAGAGATTGTGAATTTGTACATGTGGGACTCTGCTGTCCCCTGAAGAGGTATAAGTACATCAGACTAAAAGTCCTGGACTATAAGGCATTAAACTATGAAAAGCAGGGTGATGTGGTCACAAGGGCTCATAAGTGCCCAACAGAACAAAGTTAACGGGAAGGAAGTCATCAAAGCTGTACAAAAGAACAGCTGTGAAGACAGTGATCCCTTCTGCCATGTGGCTATTGCTGTTTCCTTTGAATTCCTGTCTACTGAATTGTTTAATTTACAATAAAAGTCAGCAGTCTTCTAGTATTTTTTTTCAGTATTTTTCATTGCCTAAAACATCACACCTTCAGAGGTCTTATTTTTGAGTTCTGCTACTAGGCAGAAAATAGGGAACAAGATATAATAAAAAAAAAACTTGGGGCCAGAGATTTAGCTCAGTGGTTCTGCTGCCTGTGTCACAAGCGCAAGGTCCTGAGTTCGATCCCCAGTGCCAAAAAAAACCCTAAAATGTTTAGCACTTGATTAGAAGAAGTGCTTGGACTTTGTACTTAACGGAGTTTATTCTTATTTTACTCACAACTTTTTTGTTGTTGTGGGAATTGAATTGAAAGCTGCCAAATTAGACTTCCAGGTCACAGTTAAAGAAATGGAAAGTTACAATAGTCCTGGGGTTGCTGTTCTCACTGAGCGCCCCTGCTTTCTTCCTTGCAGTGCACAGATGGGCAGACTCGATCCCCCAAAACACAAGCACAGAGACCAGGGGTGCAGTTCTGCCTGGGCTGCACGCAAATCTCTATGTGCAGCAGTGCCAGGAACACGGTGATCAACTGAGGATCATAACAACATCCCGAAGTCACAAAGAAAATATTACATTCAGAACAGTACTCATGTCACCTTTGTTTGTTAAACAAAGTTTGCAGGCCTTTATAAGACAGAAGCCAAATGTCTTGCATGAATACCTGGGCCCATAGGGCTTGACAACTTGTCAGAACGCCCTGTGTGTAAAATATTCAGCCTGCTGCCAGGCATGAAATAAATAATTTTTATTATAATAAAGTGTTTATTAAATAATATTATATAATGGTATATTAGTGATAGTAGTATATTAGTATTAGTAATGCTGTTATTGTTTTATGTAAAGCACATGGCACACTGTAAGGTGGGGGGGGTCATAGGCAGGAAAAAGGACAAAATAGGAACTCATTAAGCTTTATTAAAGAAAGTAATAAAGGAAATCTTACTAAAGGCAGCTTTTGCCTCTGCAGTTAGATGCATCAATTAGGAAGACAAAGGTAAAGAGAGAGGAAGAGAGACCAGACTCAGGAAGACACCAGGTAACACAATTAACAGAAGAATTTAGTGAGAAGAGACAGACAGGCAAAACAGGGATGTAGCCATGAACGTGAAAGTTCCAAGTATCCAGCTACCCCACCCAGTAAAATGCAAAAGAGATAAGGAACAGCCCCTTAAGGACTCTTATTTAATATATAAAATGCAAATGTTCCCTTTACTTAATCATTCAGTCTGTTACCTTTTTATAAGGGTTCCCCCTACACACACACACACACACACACACACACACACACACACACACACTCAGCCATCACAAAGGGACAGGAAGAAATCAAATGGCCATAAAGAATGTAGACAGAGGTGCTCAGGTTAGGATTAAAGACAGCCAGAGAGTCAATCAGATGGTGACAACTTCCAAGTGCCCATGGGCAGAGGGTGGTGGAAAAAATCACTAGTCCTAAATAAAAGGGAGCTGAGGACAAAAATCCATGGGTATTCACTTTTGATGCTCCCTGCTCTTCCAGAATGGCTGTCTATCTTCTATTTTCCTTCTTTGCCCTGTTCCAAATACAATATCTTCTTTTAATTAAAACTGTGCCTCTTTAATTCATTATTGAAGCTGAGGGTTTATGACCCCGGCAGGATCCCAGTAGCTGCATGTTCCAGCAGAGTGTAGCATGATGTGGCGTGGTGACAACACTATCCTGTACTAGTTGGTGTTTAAGGAAAATGGATTTCAAAAAAAGGCACTTTCCTAACTGCTTTCCCAAACAGAAAAGAACAAAAATGCTGGACTTAGTCCCAGCTAACCATGCATAAAGGAACTGTATCTCCTTTGCTGAGAATGAAGTCAAACAAGAGCAGAAAGATAAAAATCAGACTTTTAACCAAAGAGCACACTTATAGCCACAGTTGGAGGGCATAAGCATCAGGCACTGCACAGTGTAATTAAAACAGGAGACACTGGGGGCAGATGACTGAGTTACAGTTACTATTTGAGCCCATAGAGATTTCCTGCATGCTGAGCAAGAGCTTGCTGCATGTGCACATCCTATCATGCTCCCCATCAAGTGGAACAGGAACAGGTGAGTGGGCCTAGATAGTCAGACAGTTGTTTCATTGATATAGGAAAGCCTTAGCTCTCCTTTCCCATTGCCTGACTTAATCATACAATTTTCTTTTATGATCTATATTCCTTAATTTTGTATTTTGAGTATTAGAAAGAAGTACAGAAACAATACTATTTTATTTAATGAATACAATGGGAATTTTTTGGCAACATTAAATTAGTGCATTTTAGTTTTCCCTTTAAAGTATCTCCTTTGTTTGGCTCTTTTACCTCTGACACTAAGTAATGAGCTACATTGTTCCTGAGCAAGGACACGTGGTGCCAGTTCACGGCCTGCCTTTTGTCATCTCCTTGCTATAATACTTGAATGTGTGAGAGAGAGCCGTGTTCTCTCTCTCCCTCTCATGGAGGAAGTCTACATAACCCTTTCTGGTGCAGCTATAAGTTGGGGGCTTCTCCATCAGCCTAGACCCCTCAGCAGCTTGCCATGGATATATACTACATTAGGTTGAGCCACTGAGCCATTAGGTTGAGCTTCAATTTATTACTGAAACATAAACTTGCATAATGTAAGATACCTATTGGAGGCTATATTAGGGGAAAAGATGTAAATTATAGGAACACTTCTCCCTTCTGTTCCTGAAAGGTTGTATGTTGAAAAGGCAGGCTGAAGGAACAGTAAGGAATTAGAAGTGTGCGTCCTGTCCCTTGCTTGTAGCGAAATAGGAATTGTCTCATCAATGTGAATTTGGTAGTTCAACTTGGTTAAGGAGAGGGCACTAGAAATTAAGCTTAACTTGCGATTTCTGTTTCTAAATTGGAAATGAGACTCGGAAAATTCCTCAGCTTCTGAGAGGAGTACAGAAATCAAATGAGAAGACTCATGTGATATGAAAAATAGGACAGCATTTCATTGATATTCTCCTTTCTAAACTCAGCCACCATCTTTGATAAGTACAAGAAAGAGATAGAGCAAGAGACATTAACTATTCCAAAAGACTATCATCAAAAGGAATGACTTAAATTATCAGTTTAGAGTAACTTTTAAACACCTCCCCCACTGCTAACTGAGAAGGTTCATGAAGAAGACAAGAGAATTACAGGTTCAGTAACATACTCAATCTCACTATTAATCCCATTGGAAACTGGTAGAAATATGTGTTGGAAGGGACTTTTTTTCAAACAGTAGTTTCTATCTGTTTTGCAGACTCCTCTACTGTGAAACCTAGAAAAGTTCTCAGGACTTGGCCATAAAGGTTTGATATCACCTAATCATTTTACTCATTTATTCAGTTATCTAATCAACCAATATTTATTTTAACATTAACTATGTATCTAAGCTAGGCACAGGCAATATAAAACTGAGTAAAACAGGTAGAATTCCTGCCTGAGAAGTTTTGTCCTCCAAGTCAACAGTTAACCATGCTCTAGACAATGAGTTCTGAATTTTTACTTCCTTTCAACTTCTAGCTAAACTATACTTTTTCTCTCAATCTCTACTTCTGGAGAGGAGATAAACCTTCTTTTTAAGAAGTGTCAAT